TCACTTTGTTATAAAGCAGAAACTAACACACCACTGTAAAGCAATTAGACTCCAATAAAGATGTTAAAAAAAAAAAGAGCATGCAAATGATTCAGTGGAGGATTCCTTTTATTTACCCCTAAACTAATTTAAAAAACAACAAAGAATAAAGATACCCATTTGGAGAGTCCCACGAAAAGCAAACCAAGCATGCTGTGCATCTACGTAAGGAAATAAACGGTCACAGGATTTTGACCGAGAGCATGACGGTGAAAGACAGTGAACCTTGCCAACCTGGACTTCAGCTTGCATCTCCTTTAGTGTTGTCGACTGCCCTTGTAAAGCTTTAATTTCTTCTTTCTTGCGTTTTTCTGCTTCTTCTGTAGCCGCTCTTTTCTGTGCCTGGTATGAAATGATTTTCCATTAGAACTGATTTTTAGGGTAGTGCTGGAAATTGAGTGATAAGTTATAGCATATAAATTATGTTTCTTATGTATTATAATCGTCACTAAGACTAATACTATAGCTAGAATTAAAAGAAAATCCACCAGATTCATCTAATAAATGTTTACTGGTTGTTTTTTTTTTTTTGGAATTAAAAATTTTTTTAAAAATTTTATATTGGGGTATATTTCATTAACAGTGTTGTGTTAAATGTTTCCTGTTGATAAACACTGCAGGTGTCCTCCCGGCCATCATAATCCCTACACAGACAAGGTGGAAGAGCCAGGACGCGGGCTCAGGCACCAGTGTCCTCCGTGTGCTGTGTTTCCTGTCCCCATAGCCCCGTGAACGATGTGTCAGTTTACTCACGTACCAAGTCACTTCTTAAACCCGGGACCAGGTCATAACTTCAGGGAAGTTAACTTACCCTAATTTCAGCATCTGTAGGTCTGCCGTCTATCGTAGCAAATCCCTCAAAAAGTGTCTTATAGAGGACGCTCCTGCGGGTGGCACTCTCCTCGGGAGGGAGGCACTCGAGGACCAGAGCCCGGTGCTGCGCGTACAGGTCCAGGATCATCCCCACCGCCGAATCCCGCACCTTGTGCTCCCTGTGCTCCAGGGCCCGCACTGCGAACTAAGAATAGGGTCGGGACGTGCTCTTGTTACTGGGTCTCAAAATAGCCACGTTTATTTCTTCTGGCATAAAAGAAACATAGGGACATCGTGGACATTTGAAAAACATGGATGACAATGCCCATAGAATTCCAGCTATTAAGATACAGAGTTTTCCTCACTTCCTTTACTTTACATGTGCAGCTGAACCCATGTTGTATGTACAATTATTAGTGTTTTCCTTTTTCCTACTTCAGGTATTAAATAGCATTTTTAAAGTTACATCCCCCCAGAAACTTCATATTAAGTATTAGAAAATATTTCAATCATAAAGAGGAAATATAATAAACTCCATGCATCCACCATCTAGATTAACCAACGTCTATCATTTTTGCCAGGTTTGCTTCAACTCTTTCTAAGAAACAGAACCCTAGGACTACGGTGCAAGTCCCCTTGAAGTCTCCCTGGCCCCCTGTCCCCCCCCCCCCCCGTCAGAGGCATCAGTGTCCTGAAGCTGGAGGGCACGCGCCCCCCAGACGTCTTCATTTGCTGCACAGTGTACGTGCCGTGTGTGTGTGTACACGTAGGATTTTTGTTTGACATTATAAATGATTCACTGTGCTTATCATTCTGACACTTTACTTCTTCTTATTCAATGTTCCTTTTTCAAGATCTGTGCATGACCTTGAAGTAGGCAAACGACCCACCCCATCCATTTTAAGCTCTTTAGTGTCATCCGAACACATCACAATATCCGACGTTCCCACGTATAGTAAACCCATGTCCCCTCCTGGTCCTTTGGGCGCCGGCCCCTCACTGGCTGGGCTTCCTCACTTCCTCTGTCTCTGCCTGCCACACGCTCAGGTTTTACCCTAGACCTTGTCCTTCCCAACCCCTGCACCAGCTCGAGAAGTTCTGACCGTGAGGCACCCCCGGGATGATCACCTCCTGCCTCTCCAGCTCACCTGTCTGCACTCCCTCCCGTCTGCCACCTCCCGCGAGTCTTTCCCGCCCCGCGTGTCCATCACCAAGTCACCCCCGGCATCCCTGCAGGCCCTCAAATCTGGGGCCCCTCCTCCTCTGTGTTCCCAGGTGAAGCAGAAGGTGCTGCGGGCTCAGGAATTGTGCCAGCTGGTTTCATGCTGGACTTTGGGCCATGGCGATCCTGGGGCCCTTGGCATCACGCAGTAACCTGACCCGTGACGCTTCCTGGTTGGTTTCCCTGCTCAGAGGTCAAGGGCAGCATCTCATACTCCCTGCTCGCCTCTCAAACCTCCCCATCCACTCTCGGCTTTGAGCCCTCCTGTTGAGAGGCTGGCTGGCCGCTGCCCGGCTCTGAGCCGAGCCGTCCGAGCGAGCACTGCGGCCCCATTCCGTCGGCTGCTTGGGGGCTTTGTTCCTTCAATTAAAGCCTCACCCCCACCTCCAACTTTCACTCATTTCTCCTCCTTCTTAAACTCTCCGTCTCGGTGAAGCCCACCGCATGCAGACGGACCAGCACAGGGTGATGTGCTCACCAACCCGGTTTCCCCACTTCCTTGGGGCACAGTTGTACACGCCTCCCAGGCCCTGCAGTGAGGATGGGGCCACCTCAGTGGATGGACATGTCTGAGAGTGGCTCGGCCTGTGGACACCTCCACTCACAACCTCTAGTCACCCTCCTCCGTTCAGTGACCTTGGAGATCATGTGTGAAGCCGCGGCATCACACCGGGAGGAGACGGAGCCCCCGAGTGCCCACAGAGCAGAGTGGCCTCTGTCCCCACAGATGGCACCGGCCACAAGGGACAGCAGTGAGCCTCTGCTGTGTCACTGCCCTGAAGACTGTGCATCTGTGAGGGCGGCACAGCTTACTGGACCAAAGCTTATGCTGGGATCCTGACGTGGGTGTGGCCCTAACAAGGATGTAAGCATGTGGGGCCGGCTTATGGTCTGTGCTGGGGAACAAGGAAACTGACGTGGAAGCAGGACAGACAGTGGCCACGTGACGCAGGGCAGGACAGGGGACATTGACCCATACTCAGGAGGCAGTCCAGGGGCTACAAGTGAACGGACACAATCAGTGTTCACTTCTGGGGCTCATGGGGTTGTCCAAAGCATAAAACACGCACCTCCTTCCACAGCCCTGCCACCCGCTACGATGCGGCGTCATTGCTTGCAGAGCTTGCTTCCCTGGGGACATGGCTCTGCACGGCTCACGCCCCGACGCCATGGCGTAACCGGCAGCGCGACTCCAGCGCCCTCACGTGCCAGAGGAAGCGGCGACGTTCCGAAAGCGCCCCCCACCTCCGCACGCAGCCAACACCGGCCAGATGCTTGCCATGCTCCGGGCACCAGCTCGGAGCCCAGGCTGCGGCGGCCACTCTGGGGTGCTTACCCGCATCACGCTGTCCACGGTGAAGCCCATGCCCTCTGTGCCCAGGTCCCGCAGCAGCCGGGCCAGCAGCGCCATCTGGCTCATGGCCAGGTGAGCCGAGGAGTTGGCTTTTAATGGCTGGACGAGGTAAGATGGGATAAGCTGGAGAGACTTCACTTCCTTGAACAAGGCCATTTCCTATAAAAACCAACATCATTTGTTAAGTTTTACTGGAAAATGCTAAGGGCAACTTAGTGCCATCCGCAAAGTAAACACTGAAGGAAAAAACAGGAAACAAAAAATGACAGTGACCAATGGCAGTAAAGTCACTGACCTATAAGCTCATGTTTCTATTTAAGATGTAATAACAATTAAAAACAAAAACCAAAAGCATCAGAAATAAAAACCACGACCACTTGGAGATTAATGAAAGCTTTACAGCAAATGTGATCGGTAACTTAAGGTTTCTCTTCTCAGGATTTCACAACCTCAAGAAAAAGGTTTTCTAATTTCTAAAATTCTGAAAGAAATTAGTCCTGCTGCGAGAACCACCATTTCGGTATTTATTAAACGTCAGCCAAGCATGTAACCACGCACAATACTCCAGGTGAACAGACCCCTGATGGGTTTAGATGAAGGAGGGTAAGTACCTCCACACAGTCCAACGTCTCCAAGTGAGCAAGTCTTCCCATAACTAAGATTTCATCATTAATTAGCCAGACGCAGAAAAAGAAAAAAATGGTAAAATATTAAAGAAAAAGATCGAAGAAACGATAAAATATTGATAAAATATGAGACGTAATATAGAAAGACGTCTGTTTTTAGCAGGTCTGCAGGCCACACTACCCAAAACACCCTCTCATTTTGACAGTACAGTTAACTCTCTCTCTGGTCCTGTGAGTAGCTCTGAACCAAAGGAAAGAAGAAAGAGGAAGGACAGCCCCTCAGAGCAGCACGAATGGTGAACTCGCACGTGACACACAGGTGCTGAGGACCCGGGGATGCAGGGTCGGTTGCCCAGATGCTGGTGCAGAACGAGAACAGCTCCCAAGCAGAAGACACTCAGCACCACCACTGTCTCAGAGGTGAATGTGGCTGGAAAATAATTAGCTGCATATTCAATGCATCCTTTGAAAGATTTCCCCCAAATAGTATCACTTACTTGTTTTCTCTGAAAATTTAAGTTCATTAAACAAAAGATCAGTGGTTCTTCATGTTGGAGAAACTATGGCAGCTTTGGGTTCCTTCCCTAGAAAGCCGTGCACCCTCACAGCACTGTGTGTGACATTTGAAGGAGCTCGCAGACTTTCTGAATCTTAATTTGAGATCTCCTAGACCAGATGGAGTCACTAATTTAAAGAGAACAAAGCATATTCTCACACTGCTCATCTAAGCGTGTGCCCCAAACTCTCTTTTAAACTTGTTATTGGAGTATAGCTGATTTACAATGTTGCCTTATTTTCTGCTGTACAGGAAAGTGCATCAGTTATATATAAATACATATCCACTCATTTTTAGATTATTTTCCCATACACGTCATTACAGAGTACTGAAGAGTTCCCTGTGCTATACAATAGGTCCTTATTAGTCATCTATTTTATATATAGTAGTGTGTGTATGTCAATCCCAATCTCCCAATTTATCCCTTCCCCCATGCTTTCCTGTTTTCTATGTCTGTGACTCCCTGTTTTGTAAATAAGTTCATTTGTACCCTCTTAAAAAAATTCCACATGTAAGCAATATCATATGATGTTTGTCTTTCTGTGTCTGACTTACTTCACTCAGTATGGGAATCTCTAGGCCCATCCATGTTGCTGCAAATGGCATTATTTTGTTCTTTTTTTATGGCTGAGTAATATTCCATTGTATATATGTACCGCATCTTCTTTATCCATTCCTCTGTTGACGGACATTTAGGTTGCTTCCACGCTCTGGCTATTGTAAATAGTGCTGCAATGAACATTTTGGTACATGACTCTTTTTGAATTATGTTTTTCTCAGGGTATATGCCCAGTAGTGGGATTGCTGGATCATATGGTAGTTCTATTCTTAGTTTTTTAAGGAAACTCCATACTGTTCTCCATAGTGGCTGTATCAATTTACATTCCCACCAACAGTGCAAGAGTGTTCCCTTTTCTCCACACCCTCTCCAGCACTTACTGTTTGTAGATTTTTTGATGATGGCCACTCTGAGTGGTGTGAGGTGATACCTCGTTGTAGTTTTGATTTGCATTTCTCTAATGATTAGTGATGTTGAGCATCCTTTCATGTGTTTGCTGGCAATCTGTATATCTTCTTTGGAGAAATGTCTATTTAGGTCTTCTGCCCATTTTTGGATTGGGTTGTTTGTTTCTTTATTATTGAGCTACGTGACCTGCTTGTAAATTGTGGAGATTAATTCTTCGTCCATTGCTTCATTTGCAAATATTTTCTCCCATTCTGAGGGTTGTCTTTTTGTCTTGTTTATGGTTTCCTTTGCTGTGCAAAAGCTTTTAAGCTTCATTAGGTCCCATTTGTTTATTTTTATTTCCATTTCTCTAGGAGGTGGGTCAAAAAGGATCTTGCTGTGACTTATGTCATAGAGTGTTCTGCCTA